TTAACATCTGTGTGCACTCAGATAAAAAATGCTAATTTTTAAACTAGGAAAATAAAAGCTTGAATTATAAAGTGAGTTAATAAATAAATCGAACACGAGAGATTATAGCTGCTAAAAGTCGGAGCTAGCTATTCAAGAGAGATCCTCGAAAGAAGTTGGTGGTGCGTAGTTGCTGCTGCTTGTGGGATTCTCGACAGAGTGTTCGTCTTGGGGTTTCTAGAGTGATCAAGACGCTTAATTTTCAATAGGAAAAAACCGTTACATTTTATGTGTTTATATAAGGCAATAAAAAAAGGTCAACCATAAATAAAGTGTTATGCGTAAATTTGAAATTTGTATTGAAATAATTGTAATGGTATATATTGTGAAAGGTATCATCAAAGGGCCGATTGATGTTGTGTATTTATTATTTAATTTTATATCACTTATATTTGAATGTTCTAAATGATGGTAAATTATTGGATGTTGATTTATCTCGAATGATAGAAGCCCACTGGAATTTTTGTGCTTAAAAAGTTGGAACAGACGGAAATCGCGTCTATGTCGATATAAAGTAAGTAATACTCAAATTGTGAAAAGAAGACAATATACAATAGTGTGACTGAGGCGGCAGTGTCTTCAAAGGGCCGTAACAGATGGCATGCAGTTCTGTTATATTTGACACATATATAAATTATTTTGCTTGTAGATAATCTTGCATCCCTCTCGAATAGCAAACGATCCGTTAGATTTATTTAATTATTTTCCTTTTGTGAAATACCAAGTACTCGGTCATATTTGAATCTTTTAGTTACATTTTGAAATGATATAAATAATAAATAATTATACAGTTATAATATTATGTTATGTGAGCATAACATTACACATGCTTTACTTCAATTAGCAATTTAATTTACAACTATTTAGTATAAATATAGAAAAAAAGATTTGCAATTAATGAAACTTTATTAAAACTTTAAAAAGAAGTTTAACGGTAACAATCGTGTAAAGAAAACAAGTATGCTTTGCGCTTACATTTGACCTAGTTTTAATTGTGTATCCAAAAATAAAACTATTATTATCTAAGCTAACCATGTCCATACAGTATGAGTATCAAAACTGAAAGGCGTTACCTTTTCCAAAAAAATTTAATAAATATATACGTATACCTATATACAGTCGAATCCGCTTTATTGGGACACATCGGTTGCATTTTATTTTGTCCCAATAAAGCGGTTGTCCCAATAATCCGAAATACAAAAATGACAAATACATTTTTTGAAATTGTTTTACTATTGACTTTATTTAAATTTTTTATTACAATACAAAAAGAAAAACACGGTATTATAACTTAGTTATTTATAAAAATACATACATACATAATTAATATAAAGTACATATATACACATATATAATGTGCATTTTTTTTTATGTTATTTAAAAAAACTATGAATATTACTTTGTTTCTTGCGTATTATTGATTGTTGACGAATGTAGTCCGAACAAGCATCCAAAGCATTTATGGGGCTTCCCTCATTTTCTTGTTGAAGAAAAAATAGTCTCAATGTTTCCAAACATTTCTTTGCCTCCTGTAGTCGAATTGGTGGATCTGGTTCCTCGTCTGTATCTTCATCCGAATCATGTTTATCTTGTATGGATTGTATAATTGCATCATCAACGTTTTCGTTTTGGTCATAGCATTGCACATTTGAATCCAGATGTTCAAATTCTACGTTGTTCAGTGCTCTTACAATATCATATTCTTCGGAATTTGGTTCTAATTGTTGATCGATGGTATGATAACCACATTTGCGAAAACAATTTTTTATCGTCTGACTGCTTACATCACGCCAGCTGTCTGAAATGAATTGAATTGCTTGCAGGATATTAATTTTTTTACTGATATCTATTGCCGTTGATTGTGATTCAAGTAAATTGTCTTCAATCTTTTCTAAAATGTAATTGACCAGTGTTGCTCTATACTTAACCTTTAAATTTTGGATAGCACCCATATCTAAAGGCTGAATTAGTGACGTTGAATTAGGAGGTAAAAATTCAAATTTGATGTTTTTCAAAGATACATTAGGATGGGCAGTACAGTTGTCTAAGATGAGGCATATAGCCTTTTTTGTTTTGTCCAACTCCGTATCCCAACGTTGCAACCATTCGATAAAAATGGCCGAAGTCATCCATACATTTTTATTTGAGTGATACTCAACTGGTAATTTTTGTAAAGAAATTTGTTGAAAACAACGTGGTTTTTTACTTTTTCCGATCATTAAGAGCTTTTTTTTGTCAGTCCCACTTACGTTCACACAACACAGTAGAGTTATTCTCTCCATAGCTTTTTTTGATCCAGCTATCAATTCGTGTTTAAAACATAGAGAACCATCTGGTGTTGCACGATAGTATAATCCGGTTTCATCTGCATTATAAACATCTTCGAGAGAACATTTTGCAAGAATCTGTGGAAGTTTTGTAAGTTTCCATTCATCGGCCCCATCAGAATTTATACTAGCTTTTTCGCCATGTGCTCTTTTAAATTTTATGTCGTGTCTTACTTTCCACCTAGATAACCAACCTTCGGTGGCTTTGAATTCGTCGTTACCAACTTTTCTAGCAAGGTCTTCGGATTTAACTTTTAATATGGAACCTGACACTTGAACGCCCCGGCTAGTAGCCAGTGTAAACCACTGAGTCAGTGCCTCATCTACATCTGAATCTTTACCCTCTCGTTTCCTTTTCCGTGTTGTCACTTGGCTAAGAGCTTGTTCTCGCAAAATCTGTTCTTGAAGTTGAATTCGTGCGATTGTTGATTTCGGTATTCCTAAAATTTCCGAAAGACAACGAGTACTACAGCCTGGTGGCTGTAATTTAATCTTGTCGATAATTTCTAATTTTTGCGCGAGCGATAAATCTTTACGTACACGAGACATAGTTAATACACGCGACAAACACGACTGATGCACTAAATAACATTCAACGAATTCAACGAAGAGGAAAAATTTCCTTTGTGAACATACGATAAGATAAAATTTAATCTAATAAACGATTACGCGAGTCGGTCGCGATTTTCGAACTACTGATCTATTAATACACTCGATAAAAATGTCCCAATTATCCGAATTCGTGGCCCAGATAAGCGGTGAACGTTTACCCTACAAGTATACATTT